GAAATTATATTTTTAAAATAAAATTTCGTACAGAGAATTTATGAAATATTAGTATTTTATGCAAAATAATTGTCAATTAAAATGCCACGTGTTATAGAAGAAATAAATAAAAAAAATTATAATTTGTATTAATTTTCGACACTTAATATTTTAAAGACAATTAAATTCATTGAATTCCTAACATATCTTCCTTTTTCCCTCCCTCTAATTCTCGGAAATCTAATGTTTTAGATTTGTATAAATATGAACAAGACTTAAAAATTAGTTTGCCAAAGAAGTTTCACTTCTGACATGTGTACTTTGTCGAACGCACTTTTTTTATTAGTCTTTTTTTAGGCTAGACGTTAATGTCCAAGGATATATCAGTCAAATCATAAAAAAAATACTATCAATGCATATTGTTGTTGCGTTTTGAATGAATATGTATTACCAGTTTTTCTATTTATAATAAATAAACATGACCATGTCATACCCATTGAACTATATTCATTGATAATGAATCATTGCAGTGATTGGTAATTTATAGTGTAGTCAGAAATTAGCATACTTTTATTAACTAAATAATTATATATAACCTCTTAGTCACATCTTTTAAATAAATAATATAAACTGTATTGGCTTTCTCACGATGCTCTCCTTCAACATGCAAGTAAACGTGAATACAAAAATCCGGGTTTCGGTTTAAGACCTCAGCCTTGCGATTCTGTAACTCACTGCGTAAAATGACTGCTTTACGACGGATTAGAGCGCGACCGCCGCTGTGAAAACCGCTGTGAGAGTTCGAAAAGTGAGTTACAGAATCGCAAGGCTGATTTCTAAAAATATACGTAGACACCGTTAATGAAGTCGTAAGTTGCGAATACGGATCGTCTTACATACGTAATCTAGACCTACAATAGTCTAAACATTCTAATCCACAAGGTATCGAATTCTAATTGTGAAATACGGTATCATTTTTCACTTATTTGCATATAAATTGTAGAGATTTCATCTCATAATCACAGTCGTCAACCGTTCAATATTGTGAACACATCAATCAAACAAACAAGATGGTTCAAAAGGTAATAAATTTCATCCCCTCAAAAAGAAATCCCAACGTTTGTTTTAACTTGATCAAATTCTAAACAAATTCATTAATACAACATCCCTTTTCAATTAATTGTACCATTATTTATCGCTTGCCTTGTGTTTGACAGTTTTTGTTTGAAAACCTTGTTCGGTCTTTGAACCAAGCTTTTTGTTATTTCGGGAGACAAATGATTGGGTTTTTTAATGTTTTTTTAACGATTTTGTGTTAATCTTATTACAATATATACCTTTCAAGTTTACAATAGCTTTTAATAGATAATTATTTATAGATTTTGAATAAAACAATCCAATAAAACTTTTGTCATACTTAAACATTATGTTTTCTTTTTCAGCTTTTAATCTTTTCTGGTCTTATCATTTCTGCAACATGCACCTTCCTCCACACTGCACCGGTACCAATTATACTGGAACAATTCCGTGAGCCGCCAGTATCTTACGACTTTTCCTACCACGTCAATGATGCTCGCACTGGAGACTTCAAAGCCCAATCAGAAGCTAGACGCGGCGACACTGTTCTTGGACAATACTCGTTGATCCAACCTGATGGCGTCAGGAGGGTTGTGGACTATCAGGCCAACGACTTAACTGGTTTCCTTGCGACTGTCAGTAACCAGCCTTTGATCAACCCAATCCAAATCAACAAAGCACCTCAAGCCCCTCAAACTCCAGAAATTCAAGACAACCAAATTAGCCAAGACAGCCAGCGTCAGCAGCAGCAAGATCTCCAAGAGCAACAACAACAACAGCTCCAACAGCAGGAACAACAGCAACTTCAGAAACAGTACCACCAACAGCAGCACCAGCAGCTCCAACAGCAACAGCTCCAGCAGCAGCAACAGCAACAACAACACCAGCAACAACAGCAACAGCAGCTTCAACAACAGCAACAGCAGTTTCAGCAACAGCAGTACCAAGAGGAGGCATCCCGTTCAACAACAGCGAACGCTGGTGTTAGCATTGAGAATCAGTGCCCTAACTGCGCTAGTTCCACTCCTCCCTCCATTTCTCTATCAACAGTCCTCCACTCATACCAAAATAACCCTTGGTTGTAAATTAAAAAAAAATCTTATTAACTAGACAAACCTCGCAAAAGTGTTCCTTTGACTGTTTATTTAAATATACTATGGCACTCGTAACATAATATGTATTTTGATTAAAAAATCTAATCCTTCTATGAAATGATTTAAAAATTTCTAACAATTTTAGCAACACGTGGTCATTACAAACATACAAATTAAAAAATATACTTAGTTGAACAATTTTGCTTCCAGAAGTTTAATTTAAACATGTTTGCACAATAATTAAAATAATAAGCAAATACTTTACGCTAATAAAGAAATTTTGAAACGTTTTAACTATAATATGTAACCTTTACAAGCGAACCGTAAAATAATCGTGTAACACCTTAAACGTTTTTATATTAACTCTTTGATCATATTATCTCAGATGGTAGAGTGCAAACCAAGTGGAATAAAAATCATATTATTCCTTCGTAAGTTTAAATAAAAAGTGCCTACAATTTTGTGCGTAATATGGGCAGACGATTATTTATTTATTTACATAATTAGTAACACTAAAAGCAGTCTAATTACATCCATTTTCAACACAACATAAATTAAATTTGTTGTGACTGTTTAAACAATTATACAAATACGTCATCAACACAAAACGATATTATTATTGCACTCCGACGTAAGAGTACGACGCCCTTAATTTTTTTTTCAATTCCAACAATATCACACACAGACATATGGGTCACCTGCACACAAAAGAAAGCTAAAGGAGAAACTTTTTTTCAACATGTTTCAGTATAAGCCTGTGTTTTCTCTGATACGATGTTTTTCACTTTAAGAAATTAATTTTTTATAAATTTGTAAGCCCTATCCCACAAATGATTAGTCTAATATAGGCCGACAACTCGGCATCATAAGTCCTATATTATCTCCATCTAGACATAGTAAGGATTGTATACTATGAAGCAGAACTGTTAACGAAAATTATTTTTTGTTTTTTTTTTCAAAACTTTTCAGTTTGGACTTGAAAGCTTAGTGAGTGGTATGTCTGAGTTCGATTCCACTTATCCTAACAATTAACACTTCAAGAGTTAATTGTTAATACTCATGGCATTTTATCGGATACAGACGTTTGACACTTTAGGAAATTATTAATGAGTAAATTTGTACAATTAATAGTCTAATATTGGCCAACAACTTTATGCATAAGTCACATATTACTCCATTTAGACAGTATGGATGACGAGTGAGTCGCCCTATGTATGCTATGAAGCTAAAGTGTTAACGTGTTGGCCTAGTGGCTTCAGCGTGCGACTCTCAACCGAGGTCGTAGTTTCGATCCCCGGCTGTGCACCAATAGACTTTCTTTCTATGTGCGTATTTAACATTCGCTCGAACGGTGAAGAAAAACATCGTGAGGAAACCGACACGTCTTATACCCAAAAAGTTGACGGCGTGTGTCAAGCACTGGAGGCTGATTACCAACTTGCGTATTAGAATTAAAAATGATTCAGAAATCTGAGGACCAGACCGAAAGAGGTTGTAGCGCCACTGATTAAAGTGTTAACGAAAATTATTTGTTATCTAGGAAGGTTTTAAGCTAGGGTATAAATAATATACATAGTTAATAGCTGTTTCAACATTATATAGCAATAGTTTTATGTAAAGTACAACATAGATTTATGCAAATCAGTTTGGGTACGTTCTGCATACTTTGTAGTTTCAAATTGCATTATTTAATTTTACGTTATTTCAAAATGGTTATGTTAATAATCATAATTGTAAGGCCAACTGATTCTAGTTAGATTAAGAAATGGATTGTAGTAACTGACTAGTTATATTTTTTTTTTTTTAAGTTAGTCCCGAATGAGGCATGGTGAACATAATCAGTTGCGCTATCAAAACCAGATACCATACATCATGTACATTCACCACTAAAGAAAGGGTTTCATAGGGTTTCGATTATAAAAACATTTTGATTAAATCATACACCTTCTTTAAAAATCTAGATCGACCGATTCTCATGAAATTTTATGCGTATTCAGTAAGTGTGAGAATCGGCTACTATCTATAATTCAAACCCCTAAAGTGATAACGGGTGTCCACCCCAAAAATTTATGTTTTATTTTTTAGACAATTTTTTTGTTTTTATTTTTTATGATACGGCATACAAAAATATATACAACCCCTCATTTCACCTCTCTACAATCAACCCCTATTTTTGATTTGTTAATAAAAATCTTATTACCTGAAGTTTGAGGTTTATATAGAGAAAAATTCACAGAAAAAACTAAAAAGTTGTCATTCCAGAAAACCGAACAGTCTCTAGGGTAGCATACCAAAATGTTCCATGTTGGTATGTACTAAAGAGGTAGGCTGAGTAAAATCACATTAAGGAGAAACAAAGTTCGCGGGGGCAGCTAGTTAATTAAATTTCTATTAATTTTCCTATTTTGGGAAGAATGTGGATCATGATAACTAAATAGGGTATTTTAATTTGCGTTTTATAATAATGCCGCTGTTTGGCCCTGCATTCAATAAGCCAGGAAAAATATATTTAACGGAACGAATAAGATAGCATTAACTTATATTAATCTCGAGAATTATACCCTGGCCTTGTATTTTTCGTTTAATTAGACTACAATCGAATGACTAAGATTAACTCACAACACGTATTTATGCACTTACATAAACTTTAATCAAGGCTGTCATGAAGTAGAAAGGTCTCAAAAAGTGCATCGTTCTGACGAACTTGACTTTTAAGCATTTCCTGAATTTCTTCTTAAACAGGTCCATCCAGATCTAGATCATATAAAAAGGTATCGAAACATATCAACAGCATCACATCTTCAAGACTCTTCAGCGTAGTCACAACCTTATTCATCTATAACATTAAACATGGTTGCGAAGGTAAGAAATTTAAAACACTTATATTCTCGTATAAATAAAATTGATTTATAACCATAATTAGTCCCTGTAACTGGTAGCGTAATTTTATACAAAAAATAATTCCCCAATTCAAACAAAAAATTACTGAAACGTTCAACAAAAAACTACAGATTAAATCAAATTTATAATACCAATCTCTTTATCAACAGTGCGTCATTCTTTTCGCCCTCTTGGCTGCTGTCGGCGCTGATTTCTCCAGCTTCTCATATGGAGTAGCAGACCCCTACACCGGTGACTTCAAGCACCAATTCGAAACCCGCAACGGTGAGAGAGTTCAGGGCCAATACGCCCTCTTGGACTCAGATGGAACACAGAGGACCGTCGACTACGCAGCTGGTGCTGAAGGATTCAACGCTCTTGTGAGGAAGGACCCAGCTGTTGTTGCACCCATTGCCCGCGTAGCCCCCATTGCCTCCATTGCCCCTATTTCTCCCCTTGGTCTCCGCTCTTATGCTCCCTACGCCCCATACGCCTACGCTCGGTACGGAGGTTACGGCTACCCTTCACCTTACTACTACTGATTCAACGAAAGCTATTCACAACGGAACTCAAATTTTAAAAATTTGTATATAATGTAAATAAATTAAATCCAACATCAGAACAATTAATTTTAATTTCCTTAATATCTGAGATGGTTGAAGGTACAGTAGCGGTGTCACACTTGAAACTACGGGTATGAAATATGTACAAAAAACTGTTTGTTATTACTACAACAAAATATAAGTACCTATATATTTCGTTTCTATATCTGAAATGTGAATAGCTAATTCAAATTTACATACACACACGGATTTTACTAGTCTTATTCTAAGGTTTAAGATATTAACTTCCAATACACAAATATACAGTATTTACAATATTCTTAACCTACGTAGTAATAATAATAATAATTAAAATTTAATAAATAGAAAATTAAAACTAATTTTAAAAGTTTGGTCCCTGTGGCAGTGTACCTTAAGCTGGCAGCATTTCCTCGCTGTATTGCGAAACTAATACATAATTTTCAATAATGGAAAAGTTATGACCACTTTTGTTTCCTATTGACCATATGCCTTAAGAATAGTAGAATTGTTAACATTAATAATCGATAGAATTCTCTGTATGGGCGAAAAATTTAATTCATCAAGTAATTTTAATTTATTACAATAACCAAATATGTTTTATCAATCATCAATATCTAACCCATACACGGCTCAAATGATTGTTATTGATTCGGTTTCCTGGAATTTATCAATATTAATGCCCGTACAATATCCGCCGCGGTCCGAGTGGGTCCGACTAGTTCCGCATAGCAATTCTGTCTGACGAAATTGAACTCTAAAAAACATTCACTTTACGTGACCTAGAGTGGCCCTGCCATTATTTCCTATTAATAGCGCCGATATTGTTCAGGACCCGTATAAAAGCCCTATCACAGTCAGGATTTAACATTCACAGTTCACTGTGCAGCATAACCATACACCTCGAAATGGCAGCTAAGGTTAGTTGGCTAGTCGGGTTTTATTGTGCAAAAGTGTTACTGGATAACAATTTTTACGACCAAATTTTATAATTGAATAAAATATATTGTTTTGTAAATAAATTTGCTTGTACTAATTATATTTTTCCTTAACAGTTCGTCGTACTCGCTTTATTGGTAGCTGCCGCCCAAGGCAGTGCCATCCATGGAGGTGACTACTCCAGCTTCTCCTATGGTGTAGCGGACCCCCACACCGGTGACGTCAAGAGCCAGCACGAGACCCGCCACGGTGACAACGTGGTCGGCCAGTACTCTCTCCTGGAATCTGATGGCACCCGCCGGACAGTAGACTACGCTGCTGACGCCCACAACGGTTTCAACGCTATCGTACGCAAGGACCCAGCTCTCATCGGACACGTTGCCCACGCCGCTCCAGTCGTGGCTGCCCCAGTCGCCCACGCTGCTCCCTTGGCTTACGCTGCCCATGCTGCCCCAGTCGCGGTTGCTGGACCCTCTGTGTCATACTCTTCACACTCAACCTCAGTGAACCACGGAGGTGTAGCTGTCGCCGCTCCTCTTGCCTACGCTGCCCCATTAGCGCATGGTGCCTACGCTGCCCCCTTAGCGCATGGTGCCTACGCTGCCCCCTTAGCCCATGGTGCCTACGCTGCCCCCTTAGCCCATGGTGCCTACGCTGCCCCCTTAGCGCATGGATACGGAGGACTTTCCCACGGTTACGCTGGTCTTGCCCACGGTGCCGCATACGGCGCTCATGGTCTCGGCTTACATTACTAGATTACTGACCTAGGAACAAATTACTCTGTCTGTGTATTTAATTCTTCTGAAAATGACTTCTGATGATGTTATGAATGCAACTGCTGTGATGTGAAATAAATGTATAAAGTTTATAGTTTACAGAACTTTGTAGTTTTATATTTATCCTATATATATCTCTGGATCTATTTTACCAAGAAAAAGCCACCACCACAACGCCATTTGTGAGTGTCAAAGGATATATATATATATATATGATTTGCTATTTTAAAAGGGTACCGAGAGTTTTTTACGCCGGATTTTTCTCTCGGCCTACACCCTCTGTCTTCTTTGCCGATGAGTAGGGATGCCTACAAATTCAAATTTAACGTGGAATAAGTGATACATGTATCTTATGTTCCATAATAAACATATTTTATTTTATTTTATATATTAAACGCGACAACGTATGACTTTTATATTATACAAATCTGGCGTATCTGCCTGTTTGTTCGCGATAAACTCAAAAACTACTGCGCGGAATTGATTGCAATTTTCACCAACATCTAGAATGATTCATGAGGAAGGATAATTTTTCGAGATTTAATCAAGTAAAATTCCTTAAAATGATATAAAAACAATTGAATAAAGACAATAATTTCGGTAATTCTTCACTACAATTCCCAATTCATTCTTCAAGATCAGTCCTCACATGGAAGGAGTTTCAATATGGAAGTGTTTTCTTTTGAAATCGATTAACATAGTACCAACAAGTTATTGTCTTTTATTCACGCAAGTATTAAACATTTAATATTAGGCCAGTCATTATAGACATTCGAAATCGAAAATTTGATAATAATTCCAAAAGTTTTCAAACTTCGGTCAAGTGAATGGTACATTGGGACGACAATAAATCTCATTTTGCAGCCTTGTCCGCAGTCCGGAACATTGTTAAAATTGCAATTAAATTAATTTTATGTCTGTATGGTCGTGAAAAAAATTCCATAAGTTCTGCAAACTTGGGGAAGTTTTCGATATAATATTTCATATCACGTATAAAATTTGCAACCAACCTAAGTGTACGGAACATTTTTTGTTATTTATTTTATTTTCGATATATCTGTCAAATTTGCAGAACTTTTAGAACGTTTTCCTTCAGTTTAATAAAGAACAACATTAATTAAATAATGTTCCGTACACTTAAATTGGTTGCAAATTTGACACGTGATGTAAAATAATATATTTAACACCACTCCAACTTTGCAGAACTTTTGGAATTTTGGTCTCAAGAACTAAGCAAATTATCATTTATTGCATTTTTAACAATGTTCCGGACCGCAGATTAGGTTGCAAAATTTTATAGTTTGTTTTAATACCACTCCCGACCTTACATCAAAATTTGAAAACTTTTGGAATTATTATGAATTAATTGTCTTGACTGACTGGTCTATATGTCAATAATAATAACACTAAATTATTAATAAATATATTTATTACATCATTTACATAACTGTTTTATTAACCAGCAGGTGGCTCATCTGATGTCAGTGATGCCCATGAATAGTCGATGCTTGCGAGTGAGTTACCGGCCTTTTAAAAATTTGAAAAAAAAAAAAAAAAAATTTCTTGAAGGCCCTTTGATTGATTCGGAAATACTTCAATAACTCGTAATTTTGAGAGCATTAAAAAACGTGGTTAGCGAGAGACAACCTTTAGTGGCCTCTGTAGGTGAATAGTTTATTTCCTTTAAAACACCTGAAGGAAGCTTACAATTCTGTGTTTTTGTTTGTTTAATTCCAACAATCAACAGTCCAAAATAGTAAAAGTTCATTATTTCATATTTATTTTAAAATTCACGTGACATCTTTTACATTTTTTTTTTATTATTGAAGTTTATTAATAATTAATTATATTATGAACATTTTTTCCGTAGTGTAGTTAAAAAAAGGTTAAAGGTTGGTGAACTCAGTTACTCACTTAGAGACTCTCATTGGGTCCGTTGGGCGTAAAGTCCTGGCAAACTAAGCTCCTTCCAGAAGCACGGAAGTCTCCTGGGCACTTCGCAGGCTTCACGGAACGACCTCACTGCTCCGAGGATTTCTGTACGTTTGTTAGCCACAACCACGCATTCCAGGACTACTTAGTGTAGTTTTATCTAATATATAAAATTCTCGTGTCATAATGTTCGTTCCCATACTCCTCCAAAACGGCTCGACCGATTCTCATGAAATGTTTTATGCATATTCAGTAAGTCTGAGAATCGGCTTCTATCTATCTTTCAAACCCCTAAGTGGTAACGGGTGGTGATAAAACATAGAAATGTGTCTGCCGCACGCCCCATTTTAAGGCTTCAAACAATGTACGTACAAAATTCCACAGAGCGTACCAATTCTTAAAAGGCCGGCAACGCACTCGCGAGCCCTCTGGCATTGAGTGTCCATGGGCGGCGGTATCACTTAACATCAGGTGAGCCTCCTGCCCGTTTGCCCCCCGTTCTATAAAAAAAATAAAAAAAAAATCTAAAGGTTAAAAACTTTAATAGTCGTGATAACAATCAGTGGAATTAAATCTACATAACGTGGAACTAATAGACAATTTTAAAGTCCTTCAAATAAAGTTCACGTACTTTTACCAATTAGTCACACTATACCATTCCCATAGTTAATAATTATAGATAATAATTAGTGTTGGCTTGGCAAGGTCAATCGAAAGATTTTCTGAAGGAAGTATTTGTAAGATATGTCACTATAATACAGGATATAATACATTCGACCTTGATTGGTTTTAATAGTGATTTTGTAATTTTGATGCACTGCGCTCAAATGATAGCTACTGGAGAGTGAAGTAAGGTTTAAAGAAATTATTTTTTCCTAAATTCTTAATGCTCACACGAGGAAATTAAAAAATATAAATGTTTATTAAAGTGCCGGCGTTTTCCCCGAATTTTAGATTATAATTTTTATACGTAATTTATGAAATTACCTATTTCATATGAGGAAAATTTTAATATTTCAACCTTTAATACCATTATATCGATATGCGGTAAGGAACAGACATAAATTGTAATATTTGTTTTTGTTTAAAAGGTGTAAAAGTCCAATAAAAAGGGTATTATTCTTTAACAAATTTGCTGTAAGATAACTTATTAATTGGATATCATAAAACTCTGGCTAAAACCGGTAAGTAATTGCTATTATGGAGATAAATAGGAGGGGCGGGACTCATGATTCATAAAAGCTAAAGAAAGAAATGAAAGCGTATCATGTGTTATTACGTCTAATGACTTCATTGTTTACAATATTTTTAGGTTGTAAGGTCTCTTCTGACAGCCATATTTTGTGCTCTTTGCTTTAAGCAGAAAGTATATTGTAAGTATTGTTTTTGGGAGCGTTCAAGTAGTACGTCACGCAATTTTTGGAGATTATTGAACCCCTCCCATGTATCGCGCCGTAACGTTTTTCTGTACTGTTTTGTATAAATTGTTTCGTGACCACTTAGTGACTCTTTATACCTAAAAGTTACCATTATGTGATGTAAAGTACTGGGAAGTCGAAAATAATATTAACAATAACGCGTAATTCAATCCCCGCCCCGCATCGTAACGTTTTACAAAAAGACACCCCCTCCCAAATTCGTTACGTAATAATTGAACGCTCCCTTTATAATCAACTATCAATTATAACATATTTCTATAACGCGGGATAAAAGATGGACACTCGAAATAACAAAATAGACTGGACCTACTGGAAGGAGATGTATAGGACGACAACATATGATGGACAGATGACGTAATATAACTAGTGGGCATAAACTGGATGAATATGGCTGAAAACAAAGAGAAATTGAAAAATATGGAGGAGACTTTTACCCAAAAATATTAGACGACAAAAGAAACTAACTTAATTTTTTTGAACTTATACTAATACTCATATTAAGAAATGTTAACTAACCAATTGTTGTATAGATTCATTAATTAATCTTTAATAATAATAATCAATCATAGCAAACACATTTAATGTTAGTTCTTAAAGAACAGGTGTAAACCAAAACACAAATTTCTTATACCTAACTCTTTTCATCACAGGATAAACACAATTTGATAAAAGAAGACGGAGCATTTTTAGTTGAACTGTATAATAGGACTAATTCAGTTTTTATAAGAGGTTCTTTAATTAAATATACAGCTTACAGCTTTCGTGTTATTAATACATTTAATACTAGCCGATTAAAATAATATTTGTCCAAATGATGTAGCGTGAAATTTATCTACTTTAAATAACAGAAGCGATAAAAGTTTCTATTTTTATTTAGGACTCCATTGATTATTACCAAATTTGAATTTGAAATAACTCTAGCGGTTTTGGCAGCGCACGCCAGAATAGCTCGCAGATAGTAGATTTTTCCTACTTGATATTTTGGACAATTCACACAATATCTTTATAACTTGTAGCCTATGTGTTATTCTGATGTATAAGCTATGCTATTGTAAAGTTTCATTAAAATCCATTCAGTAGTTTTTACGTGAAAGAGTAACAAGCATCCATACTTACAAGCTTTCGCGTTTATAATATTAGTAAGATTGATTGTCCAAAAGATCCGAAGTCCAAAACAGACTGTACTATAAGGAATAGGTTTATAATATTTTTAGGTTCAAATTAATTAGACTTTATGCACATAAATATGTTTATTTTTTTCTAAATTAAAGTAGATCACAGACATTGACTTTTCTAAATTCGGATAAATCACCAGGCGAGACGGGCGTTAAGACCATGAGCGCCGTAGCCGTAACCCAAGGGAGAACCGTAAGAGACGGCTCCATGGGCAAGAGGAGCGGCAGCGTAGGTGTTGACGGCGACTGGAGCGGCAGCGTAGGCGCTGACGGCGACTGGAGCGGCGTATGAGTTGTAGGCAAGGGGAGATGGGTGAGCTGAGTAAGCGGGAGCGGCGTAGGCGGGGGCGGCGTAAGCGTGAGCTCCGTATGCGACAGGTGAAGCAGCGTATGCGACGGGTGCGGCGTGAGCGATGGGAGCGGCTACAACAGCGGGAGCGTGAGCTACCAGAGCTGGGTCTTTGCGTACAACAGCGTTGAAACCGTTGTGGGCGTCAGCAGCGTAGTCAACAGTCCTGCGGGTTCCATCAGAGTCAATGAGGGAGTATTGGCCGACCACATTGTCACCGTGGCGGGTTTCGTGCTGGCTCTTGACGTCACCGGTGTGGGGGTCTGCTACTCCATAGGAGAAGCTGGAGTAGTCACCTCCATGGACGGCGCTGCATTGAGCAACTGCCACGAACAAAGCGAAAACTGCGACCTGAAAGTAGAACGAATTAGTAGGATTCATAAATAAATATATTTATTATTATATATATGTGATTTAAAATGTACCTTTGAGAACATTTTTTCTAGCTCGAAGTCTATGAAACAACTGACGATTATGCTTTTTGATCGCGACCTTTTATAGCGATAATTTTTATCAAGCACGTATCATGCAATCACATTATGTAGGAACTTGTGAAAGAGCATGAACAGTGACCTAGGCTCACACGGGCATTCCGTTGCTTTTGTTTAAATAAACGGCATTATATATTTCATAAATGTTGACCATTTAATATAAATCGTGTGAATTATTACATATATTACGGTTTATAAACGAAAAATTGCATAGGAAAACATTACATACATTTGCGTTTCATCTTTCATAACCCATCGATTTTTAAGATATTTTCTTTTCATATTATGTCGACTATAAACAATTTATATTGATTTGGAAGTAGTATTAAACCATCGTTTGTCTTCTTTTTATTTATTGCTAAAAACTTCCAACGCTCGGCACACTGATACATAGTAAAATAAGCACAATATCCATTTTTCTATGTGACTCATAGGCAAAGGCAAAACAATTAAAATTAGAAAAACTAAACTAAAAAAAACTACTTAACCTATCTACTACTATTCTTCTGTTATTTTATTACAAATTACAAAACAGGGGAACAATCTCCTACTATGTAATATTATTATGCAGATTAAGTTATAAGTGCAGCAACAAAAGTTTTCTTAAGCATACTCCTTTGTATGCAACGTGTGTTATATCAGGTTTTATCAGATGCTTCCCTAAACCCAATTCCCTTTTAGCGCGGTTTTCTGTAACTATCTCTATCTATCTTCTATATTCAAAAAACGCATATAAGCAGAAACTCACTGAACCGGTTTACAACGGCGGCAAAAGAAGGTTTGAAATATTTTATTGTAACATCAACATCATAATATGAAGATGGCGGTGTGTTCAACATAGAGATCGCGGGTTCCAGTCCACCAAACACCAACAGTTAGGACCGTTAGATTTTCTGCCAAAGAAAAGTTGATTGAGTTGCAAGAGCTTCTAACTTTGCCTAAAATGATTTGTTAAACATTCATTAAAAACAATCCTACACCCTTTATAGACCCAAAGTTTGGAGGTTATTAAAAATACATTACAGAAAGTAGTATCCTACAAAAATATTAATAGTTACATTTATACATATTGAATTAAAATAACTTTCAAATCCGGTCAAAATTTTGAGTAAATTAAATCGCTTTGTCTAAATAAAATAAGCCTTATTCTACTTCTTCAATTTCATTTAAAAATACATTAATTATTAGCCTTACTCTTGACAAAGGCATCCTCCAACTTTTCTTCGCTATATATTATATATGATAATTACATTTAACTTAAATATATAAAACAAAGAACAGGGCGTTTAAAAAGAGTGGCGGAGAGTTTATTGCCAGTTCTTCTTTTCACTTCGACGCCCTTGATTTGAGAACTGGCAGTAAATGTAAAATTAGAAGCGTTTAATGTATATTTCTTTTTTGATGTTCATTAGTGTACATTGTGTTACTTAGATGAATAAATGATTTTTGACTTTTTGACTTAACTTTAATTTAATAACAGTTAAAAAGTATGCCAGTTATAATTCATTCAGAAAATAATGTCTAGTTAAATAGATCAAACCTCCCGACCTTGCGAAAAAGTTGAACATTAACAAAAAAACACGACCGACGTAACCAAAAATTAATTAATGCATGGTGGAAAGTACTGCTTATGAACTTCCTGCTATGTATCAAAATCAAAGCCTTCGCGATAATATAAATAGTATACGCGAGCTCGATTCAAACAGTTGCGATCAGAAGTCGAACAAAACACTACAATGGCCTCTAAGGTAAAATTACTATATTTAAATTACACATTCTAACCCTTTGTTACTTGCGAATTATTGCGTCAAAGTTTTTTATGAGTACCAGCATGTGTGCCGAATGGGTACTTTAAACTACCCAATTATAACTTTGAGTCATAGTCAAGAACTTGATATAGTTATTAAAGCATATATGCATTTAATATAATTTACAAGTTGAAAAAAATTTAAATGAACTAGATCTAAAAATATTTTCTTTTGCAGTTTGTTGTCCTCGCTTTATTGGTAGCTGCCGCCCAAGGCAGTGCCGTCCATGGAGGTGACTACTCCAGCTTCTCCTATGGAGTAGCGGACCCCCACACCGGTGACGTCAAGAGCCAGCACGAGACCCGCCACGGTGACAACGTGGTCGGCCAGTACTCTCTCCTGGAATCTGATGGCACCCGCCGGACAGTAGACTACGCTGCTGACGCCCACAACGGTTTCAACGCTGTTGTACGCAAAGACCCAGCTCTGGTAGCCCACACTCCAGCTGTTGTCGCCGCTCCCGTCGCATACTCCGCCTCTCCTCTCGCGTACGGAGCTCATGCTCGCGTCGCTTACGCTGCCCCCGCCTACGCCGCATCCGCCTACGCCGCTCCCGCTTACTCAGCTCACCCATCTCCCCTTGCCTACAACTCATACGCCGCTCCAGTCGCCGTCAGCACCTATGCTGCCGCTCCAGTCGCTGTCAACGCCTACGCTGCCTCTCCTCTCGCCCATGGAGCCGTCTCTTACGGTTCTCCCTTGGGTTACGGTTACGGCGCTCATGGACTCAGCCAAGCCCGTTTGGCCTGGTAATTAATCGATAAAAAATAACTGTGATCTTAGCTAACTTATCTATTAAATGTTCCTCAGAAATACGTTCCCATCTTGTAGATACGAAGTAATTGTAATATAAACTTTTATTACAACACGTTTTTTTATTAATATTTACGCTCCTTGACACAATTTCTGCAATTATAATTTCATTTATAATAATTAAAGATATTATTATCAAATTTTAAAACAAATTATTTTAATCCGCAACTTATAGAACAAGGCTGTTTTAGGAGAAGGTTTTTAAAACATTGTAGGCAAAAACTTAAAAATTAACATTTTTGGTTTATGAAACAGCGACTGCAATTTAAAGGGTAACAAAAAATATACTTGATTATGAATCGCACTTTGCACTTATTCTAGTTAAAATAAAACAAAAATAAATTAAAACAAAATGTATCAAAACAGTTTTATGGACGTTTTAATATGTTGAAATAATTACTTAAACACTAAAACATACAATTTTGAATAGCGCAATAAAGTATACAGACCTAGCCTACTTGCACAGAATAACTACAACTTCCTGTTTGGCCAGTTTCGGACAGCGTATCGAAAACAGTTTGCGTTTGTCCTTCAATGCTCTATATCCTATTACATGAAGTAATTTGGCCAAACAGATTAGCATAACTCAATATTATGCATAACCAGAATAAACTTACAATTGAGTACGAAATACTAGACAAAAAAGAACCCCCGCAGTTTCACGTCCCATATTTAGACGCCCATAGAATTAATTTTGGTGGTGGTTATTGTATGAACATATTCAAATAAAACACTTTTGGCTTTAATTGTTTAAAACATGATCTGTTAACTATGATTACATTAGGGGTAGTGGGGTTGCGACGCTAGATTAACAAAAAACTAACTTGTCTTATTGAAGCATTGTTCAGATCTAATTGTTTTGGATGATAGGGATCTTACGTTGAACATGCGTAGTTTTAATTGTTGTGACGTGAATTAACCGGTGGTGGTTGTAATATGGATATGTTCAGATATATTTTAAATGAAACTCTTTGTTTGAAGCTGGGTAGCAACTGACTTGAATTATTGAAGAGTTCGTATTTCTAGTGACACTTATGTTATTGGACATTATGTATTGGAAACGAGAAATGTTAAATTACAATTTATATTGCTAAAAATTAAAGGGCACATATTGGCTTCAAGTGTGCGATGAAAGTTTTGTTACGCTAGTATGCTAATTATTAACTAAAATATATATGTTTATGTAACTTAACCAACATAGATATAATAATAATAATCCAATGGCGCTACAATCCTAAATAGGTGTTGACCTCAGATTGCATCCGTTTCTTTGTTTATTTGTTTTCATAGACTAGTAGATTTTTGAATTTGAAATAGCTGATGGCGACGTGTATCTCGTGCGTATATACATATTAAATTTCTCATGTAAATAAAAATACATTTTTTGTAATGAGAAATAAAAGTTCTTTAAACATTACCTACCGACTAATATTTACCTGTTTATAAAGCTACACAGCTTTAACAGTGTTTATACATTCTTATTCTTCGATATTTTTTTTTAGTTAATTTATTAATAATTATCGTAACGTATACGTACCTAAGTAATTCGTTTAATTTAAGCTCGAAAGCTCGAAATTAACGAACTATTTGTATAATTTTTAGAACACGTCTATTTAAATCTGAACCCTGAGTTCTTGTGTTTGAATCCCGGCTGTGTAATGAATGTTATATCTATTTGCGCAATTAGATTAAATTTCTGTATCTGTTTCATGATTATTTGTCAATCTAATAGGCCTGTTCAAACATATGATCAGCCTCCGATGCCTGACACACGCCGTCGACTTTTTGGGTCTATGGTAAGCTGATTTCCTCACGATGTTTTCCTTCAGCGTTTGAGCAAATGTTATTTGCGCACAAAGAAAGAAAGTCCTTTTGTGCACAGTCGGGAATCGAACCTACGACCTCAGGGATGAGATTCGCGCGCTGAAGCCACTACCAGCACCAACAGTGCTGTGTTGCTGTTGGCTACCTAAAGAAATAAATTTATTTTTACATGTGTGGAGTGTATGAGTATAAAAATTTACTTAATAAAATTTGTAAAATATATCGTACAAAGCTAAGATAAGGCTTTAAAAGTTCACTAAACTTTATCTAGGCTAGGACAAATACAAGATCCAGTTGTATTTGCATCTCATGGACCAATACTTAATAACAAGTAATTAAATGCTAGAAGCAGAAATTGAGTTTAATAAAATACCTACTGACCTCATTGACTTTCGTGTACCAGTAAACCAGGTGTCCTGGGTCTTTTGGGTTCATGGTGAAAAACTTAAGAGAAGCCTTAAAAGGCTTTTTGTGGCTTCAAAAAACCTGAATTATTAAATATTACGTTGATACGTATGTAACGATTGAAGATAATCATAAACTAGAATTATTTATAATTTTTATCCATAATATAATAAAAATAAGAGAAAAATTATATTTTTACTCTTATTTATCTAATTGTCCTTTGATAAATAAGTTACTTACACTTAACACATTTAATATTTGTGCTTAATTAAAAAACTCTAAGAATTTAAAATTATAAAACTGTCCGGACGTTTTGAGCTCACATCACTCACATTTTAATTCAGTAATATGACAGGTTTTTATTGCTTCAAATTGATATATATCTTAAATTACCTTAATTTTATTAATCAATGTAATTTATACAATTAATTAAAATTTTATTAATTTTCAAAGTTTCCTATAGTGACATTATCAAAAAACAAATCTGTATAGTTTCATAATCATGCCTTTAATAAAAGTATTTTATTCAAAACATAACCCGAAAAGAAACAATTCCAAATATTCAAACGATTTCCCAAAATTCTTCATTTTCGTACTATTAAATATTCTGCTTCCGTTATCCAAACATTTTAAGTTATAAAAGTTGACATAATTTTATTCAAACTTCCTTAAGCTTTTGAATTGTTACGATGCGTCCACACTAACATTTTTATTGCTAACTTCACACGAACGCTTTCAAAATTTTATGGCGGAATTTTTATTAGTATATAAAATAATATTCCAGGTTTATCTCGAGATATTAAGTTCAATAAGTTATGTTATTTTAATAATATCATTGGATTATAATAATTAATAATATGATTTTATTAAAACCAATTAATTATTAACATAAACTTTTTCATACCTTAAATATTTCATATCTTATTTTTGTTGCATTTGTCTCTTACGCATTTACATCTCCCAGACTCTTACTTAAATAATTTAAGAATTGAGAGATAAATCTATGTTTGTAGGTACTTAACAAAAATGAATTTTTATATGTAATAGGAGGCAAACAGGTAGGAAGCTAACCTGATGTTAAGTGATACCCCATGGACACTCACATTACCAGAAGGCCCGGAAGTGCGTTGCCAGCCTCTAAAGAATTGGTACGCTCCTTTCTTGAAGGACCCTAAGTCGAATTGGTTCGGAGATACTTCAGTGGGTACTTCACATGTTTATTTCTTTATGAATACAGGATTTTTTTACGTTACATTCATAACGTTGACCTATACACGCGGTTTAAAAGGTACTTTCTATTATAACTATGTAGCAGTTAAAATTTGAATCAGTACATGGTCATCATGATTCTGTATTCAGTTTTGTGGAGTCTTTATTTTGTCGTCGTTTCGACGTCTTATATGCCTAACGATTTTAGGTATAAGACGTCGTTTCCCACTATGTTTCCGGCACCGTACGAGCGAGTTTTTAGTTCATATGGAAAATAGTCACACACACAGCCGTATTCGGACGCATGGCTAGTTAAAACACAAAATAATTATCAATCGTTACACGAGTGTGTACGTAGCATAAAACAAAACGTGTTAACCTTGCGCTGATTCACTTCATCGATACTTCTTTCTTCTATATTTGTTATTGATTTAAAATACGAATATCTTTTAAAGTGCTTTTATATAGTTATTATAAAGTTATTTGACATGTTTTGGCTTCTTGAAGGACATCGATATAAGGAGAATACATCGATATAATTAAATACTATTATTATTATTGGTATTTATAGGATATCTATAGTTGCTCCCATCACACTTTGAAAAGGATTTTCCTTTATAATTTATGAATCGATGTATTTTATTTTATTTGTGTTTGTTTGCCTATAGTAGTAGTCACATTAAAAATTGTATTTTGTTTTTCTTAAGTAAAACAAACACAAGTATCGGCATCAGTGTACCGATCGTTGGCATACTTTTGTAAATAAAGAAGCTTGATTATTACTCATCTCATGGAAAACGAGTTAAAAGGCGTGTGTTCGATTCCCGACTGTGCAACAAGCTGCCCGATACGAGTTGTTAGTATGGTTAAATTGAGATTCCCTCTAGTTAAGGAAACATCTTAAAATACCTATATAACATTCAACGATTCGATGACAACTCTTGGTCTCATCCATGTGTTAGTTCGCAGCACCAGCGAATGTTAAATTAGTACTATAGAAAGTCTATTCGCCGGAGTTCAAACGAACTTAGGAAGAAAATCGTAAAATCCACTAGACCAATACTGCTGTCCCCATTACATATGTTTATAAAATTATATATTTCTTACTCCAATATAAGCCAAAAACTCAGATTATAATGCCCACGTATTGAGGCATTATGTCTGCATACGAAAACCCGTACGTGCGATGCCAACAAATGGATAGCTGATAAAAAATCTTTATACAGTTGTAACCATTTGGGAGAACAATCGTATCTTTATTACCGTATTACGCCTTAATTTTGGGGCATTTTTTGCCGACCGCACCTAGATTTAAAAGTTTTGAATCTTGAAAAACAACTAAGGTAGCAGATGTTACAATAAAAATAAATAAACTGTAGTCGAAATAGGCGGCACGTGGCAGGAGGAACAGAAAAGAGGTGCAAGAAAGTACTAAACAGGTCAAAAGGTACAATAAACGAAAAAGAGGACGACAACCTAGAAGGTTGATAGAACAAATCAAG